GTTGCTTGGCGGGGGCCCCGGGGGTGGCGGGGGCCGCAGCCAGGCCGGGTGGGCCGGCGCAGGGCCCCTCCGCCCGCCGCCCTCCCTATATAGTTTTCAAACTTTGGTTTGAAGGAGGAGGGAAGAGGCCATGTTGCATCTTTTCCATGAACAACCCACATTTCCTAAAATATGAAAGGTCTTCAACAAGTACATGAAAAATACATATTATGAAAGAACAATACATGGATTTCAGATATTTTGGGCACCAATATAAATTCATACTTTAATCTCACTTTGTCTACAAACTTTTTGAAGTCCCTTTAAGCTCTCGTTCCTTGTATCACTTATCACTCTGTCGTCATTCACTTCTGAAATGTCCATAGCTAAATTGCTTAAATTCAGTGATCAATAAATGTCTGCTGATTGGATAAGAGAATGATACATTAAAGAGAAGAAAATGATAACTAAAACGCTAAAAGGCTGAGTAGGATCCAGAAGCTTTATTTTAGATCTCTGAAAATGAGCATGTCTAAACACATAAGGACTTTCACATGCATTTCTCTTTCTTTATTCGCTTAACAAGGGAGCCAATAATCTCTCTTATATTTAATTAGGATAATTCACATTAGTACACATTAAGTGAATATCTGCTAAGTGCACCTCACTGTGCTGGATCCTGACCATGGGGTCTGAGGTCGCTGATCCTGAAGAAGAGAATGGAAAAGTCTTTATTAGTCACCAGTCACCTACTTCCTTCTCAGAGATGTGGCCATGATAGCATGAGCTCTAGCTACAGACTGTTCAGGGCAAGAGAAAAAATAATAGAGAAGAAGATCTAAGAGGTCAGAAGTTGGAATGAAGGACTTTGGCTTTGAAGAGCACAAATCAATTGATTCTCAAAGTACATACCCTGGCCTGACATGACTCAAAGGACCAATTGTGCAAATGGCATCACAGTCATGAGAGCCAGAGGTGAGAGGAGCCAGCCCACGGCTCTTTCTGGGGAGCAGCCAAACCTTCAAGAGTCATAGGACAAAGTCAGGAAAGGTCCCTGAGAAGATTGAAAATCATCCAGGTTGTCTGTGATGTTTGAGGGTATAAACTTCAGGGAAAAAAAAAGGCAAGTGAGGAACCATGTATATTGCCATTTTACAGAGAACCATGGTTGGTGATTGGCAACAGCAAAAGAGGCAATCCTATCCATGCTGATTAGTAGCAGCTGGCGAGCCTTATCACACTGTATGGGTTTGTATGTGCACACAGGGGTATGCATCTTTAAACTGAGGACCTTGAGGAATCCTGGGATATAAAGATGGCAGAAGCCCAGAAACTATTTCAAGTTTCCATTATCTCTGATGACTCCTAAAGACACAATATTTTCTTAGCCAGGCAGATGGTGTGGTGGTTAAAGCACTGGATCCCACATGGTCGACTGTGTGATTCAAGTCCCAGACCAGGCAGCTTGTAAAACATGCTGAGCATGTGTGCTTACATGTCTGAAATCCCAAGAAGAGAATAAAGGAGAAGAGATGGTGGTGTGGCCATCTCCCAGGGAAGTGATTTTTCACATTCTCTCTCTCTCTCTCTCTGTCTCTCTATAGTTAGCACAAGCATCCCATGTCAAAAATCTAAGAAAAAAAATATGATTTCTCAGAAAGCTAAGTAAAGAGCTAAGAGTTTTAAAAACATGCCAACTTATACCCAGCATTTGCAGCATACAATACTATGCATGCAATAACGGTGACACAGTAAGAGAATCCCACTCACTGGTGGATCACAGAGAAAATACTAAGATCATTGTCAATCTGGACAATGTATATAATTTGCAAGGAGTTGGATGAAGACATGAAGCCACTCAAGGGTGGCTCTTAAGGGGAGATAGGCAAGAAAAAGTGAAAGAGCTCTTGCTGATTAGCTATTGTTATCTTTTTATAAATATTAACTCATTTACTCTTTTAAATGAAGTATCATCTCCAATTTATAGATTTGAAGTTAGGCTGCCTAGTGTCAAAGCCTGGGGTCTTTCTATTGCAGTAATTCCCAGTTCTCTCTACTCCCTTTGGGTATGGGTTCTTCTAGCCTGGGAGAATCTCATGTAATCAGGACACGAAGGAGGAGATTGGAAACTCCTTGCTCATAAAACCACCTGAATCTTGACCCAATCAAAAACTAACAATCAACCAACACCAGCTCACTACTTTTCTACTTGGAATCTCAATGACGTTTCTATGAGAAATACACTTAACGAGGTGAAAGGTAGATGTCATTGCCTTTTCCATCTTTGCTTTCAGTATATGATAACCTTTCTGGTCACATCCCAGTCTCCTTGGTCTTTGCCCTCAGCACCATTGAAGTGTGTATTTGTCCAACCTTTATACCACATGGCTTTGAGCA